TACTCTATGTTCATGTTTTAACTTCTCTAAAATTGTATTGTAGTAATTCAAGGTTTTGTTGAGAAATTTTAGATACTACTGTTTTGTGAACAATTCTATATTGCATTATCACTTAAAATCTATACTGTATTTCTAAAATATTTTATAGGTAGATTGCAAATAATGTAAGGTTATATATAAATTAAAGATTTTATGGTATAATCTGAAAATATATCTGAAAACATTTAGTTTATATCCCATTAATTTTTCTTTATTACTGCATTTAAATATCCTTTTCCTAAAATAGCAAAGAGAGAAAACAATAACATATGGCACAGGGGTGGTTTTTTTGTTTGTTACTTTTTTACTGATCTGAGAAAATGGAAGGCCATAAGGATAATTTCTCAAAATATTCCAAAGAGAATTTAAAAGATGTCTCTTTAAAATGACTAGAAATTTTGAGTTTACTCTGATATATATGTACATATTATGCTTTCAAGTCATTTTATTCTACATTACTTATGTGATAAGATTTACTAAGATTTCACACAGAACAAAAAATAAAGTTACTAGTTTACTTTAAAAGAGGTTATACAAACCCACACCTGAAACCTATATGTTCATGTTGACCAATGTTACCCCAATCAATTTAATAAATATAAAAAGGAGATTATACAAACAACTGGTAACCAAATATGAGGCTTTTCAAGCTGATTTGTCCTGATAACAAGACCAGATATGGACATTACAAGAAAAGCAAACTACTGGCCAATATCCCTGATAAATATAGATCCAAAAATTCTCAACAAAATACTAGCATACCAAATTCAGTGGCTCATTAAAAGGCTCATTCACCCTAATCAAGTCAGATTTTTCTGGGATACATAGATGGTTCAACATGTGCAAATCATTCAGTGTGATAAATCACAATAATGAGAATGATATGATCATCTCAATGACTCAGGAAAAGCACTTGTCAATATTCAACATTTGTTCATGATAAAAACAAAGCAGGTATAGGAGAAACATGCTTCAACATAATGAAGGCCATATATGACAGGTCAACAGCTAATAATACAGGATGGGGCAAAAGTAGGTTCACAGTAATTTGTAGGGAATAAACTGTATTTTGCATACTCACAACTGTAAACCTACTTTTGCCCCACCCTGTATCCTCAGTGATGAATGCTTTTCCTCTAAGATCAGAAATAGGACAAGGGTGCCCACTTGCCACTCTTACTCAACATATATTGGAAGTCCTAACCAGAGTGAGGTCTGAGAAAAAAATAAAAGGCATCAGAATGGGAAAGGAAAAAGTAAAATTGTCTCTATTTATGGAAGCATGTTTTTTTTAATGTAGAAAATCCTAAAAAATCAACCAAAAACAATTTTTTAACTAATCAATATAGCAAAGTTGGAAGATACAAAATGAACATGCAAAAATCAGTAGTGTTTCTATACACTAACAACAAATTTTCTGAAAATACAGAGATAACAAATGCTGGTGAGGATGTGGAAAAAAGGAAACCTGTGTATACTTTTGGTGGGAATGTAAACTGGTACACCCACTAGGGCAGTGATGGCGAACCTATGACACACGTGTCAGAGGGGACTTGCGAACTCATTTTTTTGGTTGACTTTTCTTTGTTAAATGGCATTTAAAAATATAAAATAAATATCAAAAATATAAGTTTTTGTTTTACTATGGTTGCAAATATCAAAAAATTTCTATATGTGACACGGCACCAGAGTTAAGTTAGGGTTTTTCAAAATGCTGACACGCTGAGCTCAAAAGGTTCACCATCACTGCACTAGGGGGAACAGTAAGGAGGTTCCCAAAGCAATTCTACTTCTGGGCATATGTAGCTGAAGGAAACAAAAAAATTATCTTGAAGAAATATCTGTGTTTTCGTGTTCATTACAGCATTATTTACAATAGCCAAGGTATGAAACAACCAAAGTGTCCATTGATGGATAAATGGAACCCTCGTCATTCCTGGTTAGGATGTAAAATGATGCATCCCACTATGAAAACAGTTTGTAGTTTCCTCAAAAAGCTAAACATAAAATCACCATATGATCAACAGGTGTACTCCTGAGGATATGCCCCAAAGAATTGAAAACTGGGAGTCAAGCAAATACTTGTATGCCAATGTTCTTTGCAGCATTACTCACCACAGCCAAAAGATGGAAACAACCCAAATATCTGTAACAAATTAATGGATAAACAAATGTGGTACATATATACAATAGAATATACTCAACCATAAAAAGGAATGAAGTTCTGATACGTGCAGCAATATCAGTGACTCCTGAAAACATTAAGTGAAATAAGCCAGACACAAAAGGATGAATATTGTATGATCCCACTTATATGAGATATCTAGAATAGTCAAATTCATAGAAACGGAGAGTAGATTAGAGGTTACCAGAGACGAGAGAGAGTAGAGAATTGGGCCATTATTCCTTAATGGCTAGAGAGTTTCTCTTCGCGGTAACGAAAAAAAATTTTTTGAAATAGTAATGATTGTGGCACAACTTTGTAAATGTAATTAATGCCGCTGAATTGTATACTGAAATGGTTAAAATGGTAAATTCTGTTATATATTTTACTACAATAAAAATGTTTTTTAATAATGATTTTTCTGCCTGGTTACAGAAACAAAACATTTAAAATTTTTATAATTTAGCCTGATAATTTTATAAACTATATTAAAAATTAAGTGTTATAGAATTATAAATAATCTGCAACATATTTAATTCAATATAAAATTTAATTTTGTAGAATTTATATATATTTGACTCTGCAATCCTAAAGTTATAGGAGATAAAGATGAAATTTAAAATCCATTTTACATTGTTTTCAAGCATATTAACAAAGTAACTCCATACTTACCTGGAATTACAAAAATATCACTCCACCTCTGCTAAGGCCTACTTATATCAATCAACTTTTGGCACCAAAATTCTTATGTAATTGAAGAATACAGAGCAGTATAACACAGTATTTCAACCTTTGTCCCATTGCATGAAGGATAGGACATACCTCCTTTTCAATACTGATGTCAGGGCTCTGAATTATATATAGTGTCCCAAATATTTTTATAATATTCAGTTCCTACTGAAAATGCACTTGAGAGGCTTGATTTGGGACAGTCTCAGATAATATGCTAATTATTCCCTTAAGTACATCCTTTTATATACAGGTACCCTTTCAACAAACACATATTGAATACCCACTATAAGCTCTGTGCAAGTTGCTAAAATTGCAAAAATGAGTATCTCAAGATAGCTGTTGACAGTCTGTCTTTGAAAAAATCAAAATAATGTAGGTTATTTTATGGATTTTGATAGCAAATATAAATTTGGACCATATTCTCTGGGAAAAATAAATCATAGCCTTGTTTTTTCTCAGATATGAGAGAAATTGTGAAATAAATTATTTTTACAATGTAAAATTTATGGAGAGGCAGGAGTACCTGTTTGAGATTCTGGAAGGCCGGTTCTTCTTTAATTCTTCCAATTGCATGGATGCTTGCAGAAGACCCGAGACGAGACTTCTGGGTCAGAGACAAGGACGGTTTATTACTCACAGCAGTAGCCAGAGCAGCAGCATTTGAGATGTGCACCCCTCCTCTTATGGAGTCTTACCAATAGGGCCAGATGCTGTCTACACATGTGGTGGGGTGCATTACCGTGGAGAGCGCTAAGCTTACAAAACTCAAATATTTTCTAACAGGCATTTACTGTGCTGTTCTAAAGCTATAAACCAGACCTTCACAGAGGGATATACTATCTCCCAAGACTATTTATTATAGAAATAATTCTCAAAAACAATACAGAACAAAGGCAGTCAGTACCTCTGCTTGCAAGATATGGAGATATCCATGGAGAGTTGTCACCTCACTGCCAACATGTTTTATGAAGCCAATAAAATCATATACAAACCAGGCAAAAATAGCATAAAACAAATTATAATCTTCCTTACAGAAATAGGCATAAAGATGTCATAAAAATATAGAAAACTGAATTCACTGGTGCATAAAAACCAGTATCACGAGCACATGGAGTTTATCCTAGGTATGAAGGAATAAATGATTAGCATATTATCTGAGACTGTCCTAGATCAAGCATCTCAAATGATAAAATGTTAGAAAATCTATCACTGTGTTCATAACTTTAATAGATCTTTTAAAATGTGTTCAACATTTTTTTTAAAAATCCTATTTGAATTCATCACATTAACAGATTAAATGGGGGAAGTCATATGAACAGCTCATTAGATACAGAGACACTATTTTGACTTGACCAGATAATGAGTATGGATAATATTGGCACAAGAATCCAAATTTCCTGATTGCTTGAAGAGTATGATTTTCACTGCACTATTATGTAGCCAGAAAAGTATGAAGTATGTGTCTTTATTGTGTAATTTACTTTAAAGTAGCATAGTTAATAATAATAGTGAATACTCTTTAAACCATGACAATACCAAACTAATTATTATCAGTTTATCACCGATAGTAGGCTGTAGTTAAATCTGTGTAAAAGTGAATTCCTAGTAAAGAAGCTTCTCCATTAATGCCAATAGAAATCTATTGTTGGAATGATATATTAAAATATCTACTTATTGCCCCAGGCAGGTGGTTCAGTTGGTTGAAGCATCATCCCATACACCAAAAAGGTTTGCAGGGTTGATTCCTAGTCAGGGCACATCATTTAAGTAGATATATAATTAGAAATTTATAAAAAATTAAAGCACATTTTATTTTAGCTTTCCTAATTTTATTTAATTAATTAGCTAATTTAGCTTTGCTAATTTTATTGTCCCTACCCTTAAAACCCTTAACTAAAAGAGACTTAGTTACTTACCACTGAAAAAACTGTCAGGGATAGGAAAACCACTCAGTGAAATTTCAGTATGCTCAGTTCATGGTACCTGTGGTCATAATGCAGCATCCTTTCTGATCACATACCTGAATTTAATGAACTTTAAAATAACATGTTCATACGTCTTCTAGGTTTCCACAGACGTGCAGCTCCAGTTACAAGAAGGCAGTTCCCACACGGTGCACACAGAATGGATTACCTGCACTTTGAGGATGATAGCCGCGGTTGGTGGTTTGACATGGATATGGTGATCATCTATATTTATTCAGTGAATTGGATCATTGGATTCATCGTTTTCTGCTTTCTTTGCTATTTTTTCTTTCCGTTTTAGGAATTTTCACATCTTACCACAATTGAACAATCACAGATGATGTAGACAACAATTACTTAAACATTTTTTAAGTGTGCTTTGAAATTTTATAATGTTGTATTATATAAAATGTGAGTGTTTATAGGAAGTCTGAGGTGTGCTTTGAAATTTTATAATGTATTATATAAAATGTGAGTGTTTATAGGAAGTCTGAGAATAAGTAACTTATTAATGTTTCTCATGTAACAAACTAAACTTTTATCTGTCTAGCTCTTAGCAACAATGCACTATGAATGTAATAGTTCTTCATTTAGGGTTTGTGGGCTCTAATTTTACAGTGTCTCTTTTATACTTATCTTCATTGTAAAGACTGAGGTTTTCCTCCACTTATAACTGGTAAAAATACAAAATGAAATGATAATGTGGATAGATATCAGAAAAAATATTTAGTCATTCACCACTTATTCCCAGGAATATTATATGCATTACAAATAAACCATAGTCTCTGGAACTAAATCTAACAGGGTATATTCCGTTTTGGTTTCCAGTCATCCCAAATAAAGTCCCTTTCTATTACCGAGAAAGCTGACTATCCCTTTTTTACAGACCGAAGAGTAGCTTTAGTGCAACATTTTAAATTATTATAAGAAGAGAATAGTAAATATTAAAAGAGACTAATTCTCACCAATAGAAATTTGGAGATATATATATTAACACTTTTTGAATGACAAGATTACTCACCCAAAGAAATTTTAAAATTTTCTGACTGATTTTCAATAGTCTAAAACAGCAATGCATGTCCAAAATATAATCAACTTAATGGTTCATTTACTATAAGGTTGTCAAATAAATAGTAAATGTGCAATAAAGAGTGTTTTTTACATTTTATTGTTATGTGATTTAATGTCTGGAATAAAGAATTGTGGAAATAGATTTATAGAAGAAAACCTGAAATTTATTTTTATTTCCTATTACAATAACCCTTGGAATTAGTTTTTCCCTTATTAAAAACAAATAGGAGATCTTTACTGTCCCCATGTGGGAAGGTAGTGGCACAAGTATCCCAATTTTAAGAGTGTGTAACCTGGAGCACAGAGAAGTAAGCTTATTTATCGCAGTCACTCAGGGGGTCTTTGTGTAACCTCGGACAAAAGATTTTATTAGGAACTACTAACCCAGCATTCCTACACTATAATGTCATACAACTGTCAATGCAATATATGACATTAGCAGACATACTCAATATGTGAATCTCTCAGGGCACTAAAAATACTGCCATCATCCAAACAAATTGGGATGCGTCAGGCTTCAATAGTTCAGTCTATGAAAATTTTGGCCTGATGACTTACTACTGACTGTATTTTTTTTTCTACTGATTGTATTTGAATAAAAGCACTTACATGATGGTATGTGATGTTCTAAGAAATATAAAAGCATGGCACATATTTTTATTTTAAAACTGTTAGTATTGTGTTTAATATTATATCTGTGAAAGAAAACAGTGTGTATAAGATCATAAAATTCACAAAGCAGAAAACTACAATTAAAAACATCAATTTTGCTCTTATGTCATAATAAAATATGTAAATTATGCTTGCAGTCTAGTGACAAGTTACTAATATTAAAACAATGTTGTCCACAAAGCTCAGTATTACCTTAAAAATATATAGAATCTCTAATCTATTATTCAATGTAAAGATAGTATGATAAAAGGGAAAATATTGTCTTCCTAAAATATCTTAGGGCTGAAAATTTAAAACACATATGGAGAGCAATATTTAAAGAATTTTAAAATAAAGTTTGTCGCAGCTATTTCCCATGCAATTCCTGGTTTCTAAGCTCTAGCAAATGTGCCTTCATTAATTTCTTAATTACTTAAAAAGTTAATTTTAGTTGTACATGAAGTAAAATAAAATAAGTAGTATTACATATGCATATTTCTCTGAGAAACAATGTTGATTCCTAATATTAGGTCAGTAATACATATTTGTTTATAGATCTGTATCTATAAACTAAATACAAGTCCTATATAATAAAAGCCTAATATGCTAAGTGTCTGGTCATCAGTTCAACCAATCAAAGCATGCTAATGATACGCTAAGGCTGCTCAACTGCTTGCTATGACATGCACTGACTACCAGGGGGCAGACAGTTGACTGGTCAACGAGTCACTATGACATCACTAACTACATGGGGCAGATGCTCCAACTGGTAGGTTAGTTTGCTGCTGGGGTCTGGCTGATCGGGACTAAGCGAGATGGGCAGGACACGCCCTGGAGCCCTCCCACGGTCCATCCCCAGCTAGTCAACCTCCCGCGTCCCTCCCTGGCCCCAACTGTGCAACGGTGTGGTCCTTTGGCCTAGCCCAGCCATGGGCAAACTACGGCCCGCGGG